ATGCGCTGCATTTGGGTCATACAATTCCTTTCTCGTTTACAAAGTGGCTGCAGGATGTATTTGATGTCCCACTGGGTATGTCGAAGGATTGAGACCGCATTCTTCCATTTTATAAGTTGATATTATTTAAACATTGCTGACTGTCCTTAGTAATTATGCTTACAGGTGAGCCCGCATTCAGTTTACTCGATTAGGAGTACATGTTGACGATCGAAGACGACGAAAAGGCCCTCTTCAAGGATAATCTCAACTTCGAAGATACCTATAAATTCGGATTGCAGAATGCGAAGGATATAATCGCTTGCGGATTTGACCTTAAGAAGACTTTTATATTCAGTGATCTAGATTATGTTAAAGGTCACTTTTTAATGAACGTTTGGGAATTCTCAAAGCTCGTAACTTTCAACCAGGTTCGAGGAGCTTTTGGGTTTAATGAGAGGTGAGCACAGCCAGTTCACCAGCTTCCGAGAGCGGCACATCATGATAGAGGCAGCGGGAGAGAGCAATTCCTCCTGCGGCGTGCTCTCTCCTGCGACGGGTCGACGCTATACATGCAGTCGGGGTAGGGATGAGCGTGTGGCTGTCGTCTGGATACGTCATCTTTCCGTGGCATTATCCCTGCCCTCCCCCTCCTATACTTCTCTGTCTTGCATTCATTTTGATAGCTTTAGAGTGAGGTTTGTGCTAACATTTTGCAGCACGAATATTGGTCGGATAGTCTTTCCAGCGGTGCAATGGTACGTTGTTCTACGTTTGAATCATGTATCCCGCTAACTGCAAACCAGTGCGGCCGCATTTGCAACATCATATCCAGAAATCTGGTCCGATAACCCGCCAACAGAGCGGACGAAGGCTATAGGAAAAATCCCGTGCTTAATTCCGATGGCTATTGATCAGGACCCATATTTCCGGCTCGTACGTGACAACGCTTCTCGTATGCGATGTCCAGGGCCAAAGCCTGCTTTAATCCATTCCAAATTCCTTACCGCTCTGCAAGGCACTGGGGGCAAAATGAGCGCAAGCGATCCTAAGTAAGATATGACAAGCTCTTAAAAGCCATAAAAGCCATAATGAATTGGAAACCAGCTCACACCATTCGCCCGCAGCTCTGCAATTTTTATGACGGATACACCAAATCAGATCAAGGTTCGCTCTCCCCATTCTCTATCACGTTCGAAGTGTTTATTGACACATTACAGAATAAAATCAACAAGCACGCATTTAGCGGAGGAAGAGATACTGTAGAAGAGCATAGGCGGTTAGGCGGCAACCCTGAAGTCGACGTTTCGTTCCAGTGTAAGTAACTCCTTAAATCTATCACCCTGACGCTATAGATATGTTTTCATTCCTAACGTAACACGACGAACAGACCTCTCATACTTCGAAGAAGATGACGAGAAACTTAAGCGGATAGAGGAAGGGTATCGGAAAGGAGAGATTCTGACGGGAGAGTTGAAGAAAATGGCCATTGATTTACTGCAAGAGTATGTGGCAGAGTTCCAGCAGCGGAGAAAACATGTCACGGATGAGCTTTTGAAGCAGTATATGACTCCCCGGAAACTGGAGTGGAAGGGAAATCCCAACCCCAAGCCCAAGGAGGTCAAACCAATGGATACAAAATCGAAAGAATGCAAGGCAAAGACGAACGCGAAAAAGCAGGATGAAAATTGAGAAGCATATGTGATTGGTTAGCGATATATGGATTCTAAGTTACGGGCTGCGGTTACCATTTCTACCTGGTATATGAGAAATCGAAGATAGAAATAAATGCATATTATGTTCTAGAGGGCGATAGACTAGCTAACACCTGCTCACTGTGAATTGAGCATGCTTTCTATTGCTAAATTCTCCGTATGTTCCCCACATGAAGGACTTGCGTCGTTTGGATCGCGGACTAAATTATTTATGATGTTAGTAACAGGGTCGTTCCCCTCATTCTCTTTCACCGAAAATAAGTAATCAGTCGGCTGCAACAGCTCAGGGATAAGAGTTTAAGAAACTTAGATTCTCCCTTCCATGAAGATTTTAAATGGAAATATCTGAGCAAGCAAAATATACTAGTGATGGATCTCTAATCTTTTTTCTTGTATCTGTAAGCTCTCAAGTACAGTTGTGTAATTTCCCCTTGGATCTGGCTATATTATTCTTTTCGCAAAGAATCTGGCTGTTCATCCGTAAAACGAAGAACCGAACCACTGCATATATTTGACTTCCCTTATTGAGACGAACTCAGCCACTTTGTTAGAGAAAAGGACGGGTCCAGTAGCACACATATTTTATTATCAGAGAGTGATGCAGCGCCTTGAGTTGGATGAGCGATCGAAATCAAGATCCCTTCATTCCATCGCATTGCTAGGTGAAATACATCTTCTCCCTCAGTTGCAAATATTGGATAAGCGCGAGGTTCTTGTATATATCAAGCTCAATATTTTATCCTTAGAGCCTCCTGACCCAAGAACTTAAAAACTCTAAACAGACCACTTCAACAATTACGTCAGCAACCGCTTCCCCACATTTTGATTTAGGGTTGCACTAAGCTCTAAACATACTAGTCCTATAAACGTTGTTCCCATTTACAGCCAATCAACGCTCCTATGTCGAGCTAACGTGGCTGGGGAACATTAAATGTCCCTGTCAAATTAAATCTTATTCGACCAGCCACTTCTACAACTTTGTACCCATCGCTTTTGAGGGATTGATTAATGACATGGCTGGGGCCAGAGTGATCGAAGTGATATATCATGATGGTTGAGCTGATTCCTTTTGCCTTCTTTCCTTGTTCCCTGTTTCCATTTACGTCTCCACCATTTGTCGTGGATATACCTTTCGCAGCGTTCGCCACATATAGGTAATTTGTGGCACTTGTAGCTCTACACTTCTTGAACCCGGAGAATCACTGTCTTGCGCTCTTGTGATATCCTTCCCCTCATTTGCGCATTGCTTTTTTCCTCAAGAGACTTCGTTTGCTGGTTTGATTGAAACATTTCATATCTTTTGCAGTTTAGAAGTAAGTTAACTTTGCGTTATTTTGTTTACTGATATTTCCACTTCGCCTTCATCCACAGTATCCTCCTTGGGATTGTGTGATGAACTGATATAAAGTCGAATACGTTTACAGGGAACTACTCTGTGCAGCGGGTACATTCTTGCCATGAAGTAATGATGAGTTGACTGACAGATTATCTCTCCAGAAAATTCCCATTCCTATATAATCAAGACAATCGATCATCTTTTCTTCATTTTGATATAGATTTTTCTTCCCCTCCTCTCTAAGAATTATAAATATCATACCAAACATTCTCCCATTTCACATCCCACTCGACCTCTCCCTCTGTCCTGCCATTGCCATTCCTCTACCCTCCCCGCACTCGAACCTCGCGCAAGGCAACACAAACGAATAAACAAATACAGATACAGACAAAATGGTCAAGAGAAACATCGCCATCGCCATAATTCTCATAATTTTCTTCATTCTTCTTGCGGCAATATGCTTTGCTATTTACGCAATCAAGAACGATCTCTCCCTTTTCACTCACAGGAGAGCGCTCGACGAGGAAGAAGGAGAATGATTGATCAATTGATTGCCTTGAAAAATGGAAAGCAGTGGAATCAGGGGCCAATGGAGAGACGACATTGCGTACCTCTTGCTGTGTCCATGCCCCTGATACTCAGTCGAGAAAGGGAACGACCTAGGATTATCCCCGCAAAAAACAACTTGTTGGTTCACTTAACGTGACTACACCCAGAATCGTTGGGACGTTCGACACGGACATCAATCGGCCATACCCCACACCCACAACCACACGGTTGCTCTCTTTCTCTCTCTCCGCCAGACGCATTACCATTAACGAAGAGGGTCATTTCCACTCATATTTTAAAGCATTTATTGCATTTCGTGTACGGCAAAAATATACCCCCCATGCTTGTTTTCCGGAGGATTTTCTTTTTGCATAATGATTGTCGATCTATTATTTTACCTCCCATGTCTGAAATGAAAACAAATATATATATAATATAGAAGGGTGCTAGTGGCGTTTTATGGTTACCAGGATTGTGATTGATTTTATTTGGGCCTTGAATTATGAAATATTTGCTTTTATTTAACTATTTATGAATATTAGTTATTTATTTCATTGTCCATTCAGAAAAGGAATTTACAGATTCACTCTGACGCGGAAACACAATTTCGCTTCTCTCATACACGGATCCTTCCCAGCAAGCCTGATTTATTTATAGCCTATACCTACTGTACATGTAAATTTCTGTTCATTCATTTCCGCCTTCTCATAATATCAATTAATACACGTTGAAGATACACCAGGGAAATCCGCTTAGTGAGTATTCCATTCTCCCATGCCCGCCCCTTTTCCATTCTGATCGAGAGCAAACCTAGTTTTGACATTTTCTTGTGAAAATGCATCATCACCTTTAAGGCATTCGCAATATCCTGACACCCTTCCCGTTTAACAAGAAATTAGAAATGTAAATTGTTCCGAGAACCGCCTCCAGGGTTAAAACGAGTTACGAGGACGATGGGATGGAATGGAGATCCAACCTATTGACACTTCTGAGTTACCTGAGAGGCTACCGTTGCTGACTATATCGGACTGAGAGAGAGTTTTATCGCCGTCTCTTAAGATCCTCGTCAATGGAACCAAAGGGTGAAGAACTTTAAACAAGACGCACTGATGTTGGTAGTGTAAAAAATTGAAAAACTAGGCAGGGGAGACTAAGTGAAAATGAAGTAGACAAAAGTATTTATGTATGCGTGTTTGTACGTAGGTGATACATAAAAAAAAAAAAAAAAAAAAAAAAAAAAAAAAAAAAAAAGGAGAGAGAGAGAGAGGAACAAACGAAATGATAAAATGGAAACAATTTCATGCATGCATGCTCTCCTCAACAGTGTATAAAGGAAATGTGCAATGCTTTACTGACCTCCCACAACCCAAATCAGTACAAGTACACACAATTTAAATCAGAAAATATCGAGATTATTTTTCTCACGGCACATTATTTGCCTGCTGCTGCGAACAAGCTCCCATCAGCATCTCCAGCCCATTGCTATGTCCATTGCGACCATTCATGTTATGTTTATTATTATTGTTCGCCGCCTCATTGGCATTACCATCGTCGTTATTGATGTATGAGAACTTCCAATCGTCTCCACCGCCGCTTATTCGGGATATCACTTTCATGCCGTTATTGTGGTTGTAGTCACCGAGACTGCTATGAGTGTCCTTAGTAGTTGTGCCGATCGGATCATTATTTGTAGGACGGTGGTAGGATTTGTCCTTTCCCGGGCCACTAACCGGGCTAGTTTTAGAGTGTAGGGTTGGAGAGGTCGTGCCTGTGGTTATTGAGGAAGGATTTGTTGGGTACGTGGAGCGGTACTGATTGAGGGCAATGGGAGAGGAGTGGGTTTGCTGTGACGAATATTCAGATGAGGATGGTCGTGCTTGCTGGGGGTTCAAACTCTGGCTAGCATTGCCTGTCTTTTCATCTGTTTGATGCGTGGAGCTCTGGGTGCAGGCATTGTTGCTTGTGCATCTTCGCTTGGGAGGCCTGAAGGGTTCGTCTGTACGATTTGGGTCACGTGTTTGGTAGGGGGTTGACTGCGTGCTGTTCAGTGCATAGGGTTGTGTGGCCGACGTGTCAGGGGTGACTGGGGCATTGAGTTGCGGAGAGGGAGGCTTCGTCCCATAGTGGTGTTGCGAGTAGTGAAAACCCCCGCTGTTCGATGCATTCCGGTTGTTATTGAGGCTTAGGATGCTTCCGTTGTCGCTGTTATTATTGCTGTGCAGCGAGTTGCTATTATCCGAGAATATGCTTGTAGCCACCCCCGAGCCAGCTCTACCCATGCTCTTATCATGCATTACCACTCTTTTCCATTTCGCCACTATATTGTCATAGTCCCACCGAGAAGACTCGATTCCGATCACTTTGCTGTCCTCAGCTAGCTCTCTGGACACAGCGTGTGAAATCGGGAGCATATCTGGGGGAAATATGGAAAATTCTCGGGGCCACTGGCAATTTTCCAATCGTTCGATTTGTCCCCGTAGCTGGTTCGCCTCTTGCTGCGTCCGTAATAACTGCTTCTCAATTTCCTGCCGTTTCTCCTTCTCCCGTGCAAACGCACGGGTAATCTCCCTTTGCCAGATATTAACTCGATCATTCGGGGAAGTGGACATCCAATGGTTCAACGATAGTTCGAGATGTCTGACAGCCATCTCTTCGTGTTGCTGGGCAGACCTCTCGATCATTTCCGGGTCCAGTGTCGATGGATGTACAGTATTAGGACCACCAGTTCCTTGATGTGTAGCAGCTGAAGCTGCCACAGATAGCTGATCGGACTTCCATTGTTGTATCTGAACTAGTAGAGCCTGTTTTAAAATGTCCCCCCTGTCAAATCCGGGAGGATCGAGGGGGAAAGAAGTGGGGGTCGCGAATGGATGGGTGGAAAAAAGACTAGGAGGTGGGGGAAGAATTTGGAGACAAAGGGCCGGAAACGTCTGACGTTGGAGGTCGAAGTCAAAGGGATTTACTCGTGATTCGGTCCTAGAACTATAATAACATGTAACGAAGTATAGACGCAGTGTAAGCCAGAGAGGTATAGAAATGAACAAAAGAACATGGGTGAGAGACAATGCAGGATCAGGAAGTAAAACAACTCACACTGCTGCCCTCACATTATCCAACACTTCCCTCAGCGCCAGCTCTAAAGCTCTGGTCGTTTCTGGAGTAGACTTATCCGATGGCCGTATGGAATAGTCGATACCCGTCGTTGGCACTCGCAGCTGTGATATTTGAGCGGTATTCGGAATATCATTGATCACACCCGTGGAATGCCAGGTGGGTTGATTAAGCAACACTTGGAACCCGGTTCTGCTCGACTTGCCATTCAATTGCGGGCCACTCTCACTCCTTGACTCGATGGAAGCAGCCTTTCCCGGAGTAGTCGACATAGAAGCGACATCTGGGCTTTCGCGCTTACTGGAGTTACGTGTTGTTCGCCGTGTGATGCCGCTGCGCAGACGGCGTATCTCCTCGACATCATGCACACCGTCTGGTTTCTTCTTGAACAGGTACTGGTCGAGGTGGCGGCCGAGGGAGGAGGAGGTGAAGTTCTGGTGGCAGTACTGGCACTGCTTATCCTTGATGGCGGCGGGTTTGGTGCCAGATTGGCTACGGGCCTCCTCGGCGTTGGACCCGTCGGAAGTGTTTGTCGGGCCGGCGACAGATTCGTTCATTGTTGGCGGCGCGATGTATCCGCGCTGTTACCACGGACTGGGCTGAGGCACCAATTCCGAAGGTCTGCCCTTTTGGTCGTTGTATACTTGGTTTTGTACGGGAGAGATTGTAGCAGAACTTGTAGGTAAAAGACGAGAGAGTGGAACGGCGAAAAGGAAAAAAGACCGTTGAACTAGGAGGGAAAGGGAGGAGCAGGTTAACAAATAGCAAAGAGCAGCAGGATACAAAATAGGCTGGCTACTGACAGTGCCTCGTGTGCAGCTCTGCGCTCTCAGCGGGCGTTGACTCTTGAGGTTGGTTGGTTGAAGGGGAAAAAGTGTCGAGATATATTTCGACAAGGCGGGCGACCTCATTGGCAGGCGTGGTACTTGCTGCACAGTAAATAGTTACTGGCACCGCCGGGTACCACAGTCATAGGGCTGTGTGTTCTGAATTTCTGCGCAAGAACAACAAAAATTACAATACCAATAAATTTAAGCAGAGAATTCTTGAGACAAATCCCGAGTTGCTTCAAACACGTTGCGCTCCTCTTCAACTCCTGATTGATGACGGAGAGATACTTGAAGCATTTTCTGTATCTGTCTTTGGCTACTGAATAAATGGTGATATGATGTCTTATTTAGTTTGCAATGGTAAAATAGGCTTCCTCAAGTTATAGAGGATGTTAATTAATATTGAAGACTGAAAAAATCTCATATACTTACCTCAAGCGTATTTATTTGTTAGTGACTTTTAAATAGTGATTGTTCTTAATTGATATCTGGCTGTGAGATGCGAACCCCATCACTTACGCGACAACTCAAAACAATGCAGAGTCACTCTGAAACTTGTCAACTCTATTAGCTATTGATTCAAGGCAACTTGCACCAAATTTGAACTGTGCGACTCAAGAGGCCGGAACCAGTGCTTATAATTTCTTTTTAATTCTATTATTACCTTTCCACATTTTTGCTTTTTCTTCCACTTTTCCCTTCGGTTGAACAAGTCGAAGTGATGGGATAGGATACCACTATTCTAGAGAGATCGTGGAGATGCATCTATAAGGACACCGATTCCTTGTAGCACAGTGCAACAATTTTGACAGCCGGTAAACATAACATATCCCAACGGTTTGCCTGTAGCAGAATAACGCAAAATGTCAAAGTAAAAGAGAAATAGATAAACTGCGTCGTCAATTGTTAACATTCACGCTTCCAGGTCTACGCTGATTTGACCAATCCCCCTACATATTCCGCCAGTGAAATCAGCCTCTCCTCCTGGAATCTCCTCCCTACCAGCTGCAGACTGACATTGGCACCATCGAAAATTTCGGCATCATCTGTACAGAGCGGTGGGAAAAATTTTTGTCAAAATTTGAGCATGAAGAAATCATCAATCGACAATGGTAGTCAAGACTTACATTCATCATGAATCTTCTTATCCCGTTCACTCAATGGCTTGTAGTCCAGCTCGAGAATATCCACCGCCTTATCCGCAAGTGTTACTGGGATGGTGATCGAACTGTAATCCAATATATTCACGAAGGTAGTATAAGTGACGTAGTTAGTCTTGCCTCGTCGCGCTGCCGGGAATGGAGCCACGGGGCAGAAAAAGCCATCCACGGGCCGTCCCGTTCCCGTCACAACTGCAGTACTGTTCCAGTATTCCAAGTATGATTTTTGGTACTCCCGTTTGGCGACATTGATTGCCGCGATTTGCTCCGCGTTCTTCTGCGGTCTCGGCTCCTTGCCAAAAAACAAGGACAGTTCTTTGATGAAGGTTTCGCCCGATATTCCAAAGTGATGGTGTGCGTCTGCACCGCCGTCGAAGCTGTAGATAGCGTTCTAATGAATCAATCGTGGTGAGTAAAGATGAGTCTTGAAAAATGTATGATATAGCGGTTCAACATACTGCCAATTCTGATGCCCTGAGGTGCGAGGGTGGATTCCACTCGATAATCTGTTTATGATTATTAGCCCATCATTGCACGCCTAACATTGGTAAACTTATGCCAGTTTGCTTGCCTTATGTCCCAGTTTCTGTAGCGTATTCGCCACAATTTGTAAAGCTCTAGCAACAGGAGGGAGAGGCTGAACCTCACCATCACAACTCAATAATCCGAACGCAAGTTTCCCTTTGCCCACAGTAGAACTCTTAACCATGCCAATAATTTCTTGCTCCTTCTCATCCCGCCATGGAAGTTCAATAGTAAGTGGATCATGAAGCCAAGGCTTCTGATCAAGCACAGACTGGAACAAGAGTTTCAGTCCCCCCGCGGTAGCCGCCATGGGACCGACAACAGAAAGAATGGAATTTTGCCCATCCATTGAGTTAGCAGCCGCCTCATAGGGAATTCTGCCCGATGTGGGCCGGAGGCCATATAGGCCATTAAAGGCAGCTGGGATTCGCACGCTACCACCAATATCAGTGCCAAACCCACCTGCAGATCCTCTAAGGGCAATGAGGGCACCTTCGCCTCCGGAGCTTCCTCCAGACGATAGATAGCGGTTCTTCGGATTCCACGTATAGTCGATGATATTGTTGATGGTTTCGCCGCACATCAAGGTTGCTGGGACACTGGTCTTGCAGTGGAGCACGGCACCGGCAGCGCGAAGTTCCTTGACCAGTTCACTCTCGAAAACTAACCGTCGAGGATCTCCTTCATGACCCTGAAAGGTACCAATCCAACCAACGTATCCCATTGTAGTTTCCACTCCCTTGACGTGAAACTGATCCTTTAAGCTAATTGGGATACCATGGAGGGGTCCAACTGGCCTTTTGTGCTCTGCAAAATACACATCAAGTTTCTCTGCATCCTTAAGAGCAGCTTCAAAAAATATCTCATGCAGACAATTGACCTGGCAGGTTTAAGTATTAACAATATGGTTTTGAAGGATTTGCAACTTGGAGCGTCTATTGAGATGTGAATAATATAGGTACGTACAAACTGATGTGCAAGAGCTGCCCTGTGGCAGAATGCCTTTGTCACCTCGACAGCAGTCCACTGGCCAGTGGTGGTGCGCTGTGCCAGACTAACAGTATCCAGCTCGGTAATATCAATTTCTCGAGGAGAAAGGAACTGCTCGATATACTGGGTCACGTCTCGCAGCTCGCTGGCGGGGGGGATGGGTGTAGAGAGTCGCCATTTCTCGGGAATAAGAGCGAGAATCGATTCTCGCTTTGTTCTAGCAATCTCCTCCCAAGATGTTCCTGTCGCCATTCCAGCAGTTGAGGTTCAAGTTCCAATCGCAATGAAGTTGTGGATGTGAGCGCACTGTTTCTTGATGTGTTCACGAAACTATGAATATTGGCCCGTAAGAGGTAAGCAAGCCTGGCGATGGGTAGCGTATTGTTGTGCTGAAAAGCGGGGCTAGACTTCTCCACAAGACGGAGGGAGATAGGGTATTTAACTGCCCCGCCTGTTCTGTTCTAAATAATGCCAGTCACTCTATTGGATATTCACTCTCGTGGAACCCATATGGATATGGGGGTAGAGTATAGGGGTCTTCGAGAAGCACTTAAAAACTATTATTCGAGGAAAAGCCAGATTTATGTCCGTCAGAATGATTTTGATGCGGAATTCAAATTTGGGAGGGGCACAACTTTAGGGTGAATAGGTGTGCTTAGGATTTGCACGAATGCCGATGCTGTGCCACTGCTGAGGGGTAAACTATTGGATCCGCGGGACAAGCACGGCAAAGCCCAGAAAAGACTGCAGAATACTATAGCGTTTCAAGCACCGATAAGGGCAATGACGGCGATCAGCATCAGCTGCAGCCCTGAGAACTCGAAGTGTCGGTTGTCATCAAATCTATTCTTGTGGTTGTACAGCAGAGACAATACAAGAATTTCTCCATATGACGATTAGTCAGCGTCAACCCCCCTTCATCTGTCTCACGTTGAGATTGATTCTCTTGTTTGCCATCCAGCCCCGCCATTCTTCGTACGGACTGGAGGTGCCAGGCCAATCAGATAACCAGTCTGGACAAGTTGACGGAATAATTTTGGGTACAGCATGCCAGGCAAATCTTGAACGACCAGTCATATAAACAGCATCGCCAGAACGGAGGCGGATAACCTCGCAACCACCACCATCCTCATGGCCTACCATGAAAAGACCATCACATCCAAAACTGATGCTTATCAAGCCTGTGTCACATTCTTCACTTACATCTCTATGAACACTGAGTGTGTCGCCGGGAGAGTAGAGGTTTACAATGGCAGCCTCAGCTCTGGTGTCAGGGAAAATACTGTGCAGCAGATTCGCTATGTCTTCTGGGAAAGGAGGAGGTACCTCATCAACAGGATACGCCTTGTCTGTCCAATTGTATTGCCCGCCAAGTGTTATCCAACGCAGCTTTTTCTCAAGCAGTGATTTAATTGAGAGTGGTGGATGAACTGAAGGGTCCTTAGGAGCTAGTTCTCGACCCAGATTATCTTGAAAAAAGGAGCCTCTCTTCCGCAAGAAAAAATCCTGTTGGTTTTGAGACGTTGAGCCACGTTCCTGAGGGAGAACTTCTTGCGGGTCAGGATATGTCAAGTGATAATGAAGATGTATATTTGTTTTATGATGTTCATTTGATAGATCTCGATGAAATATGCGGGAAAGCAGTTCAATCTGGGCAGCAGGAGGAAAAAGAGATGGTACAATGAGTAGACCTGACATATGTTAGCTATCACCATGTGTGAAATACCCGGATACTCCGTACGTGGACTGGAATGCTTCTCACCTGGAGTATCCTGATGTGTGTAGATAGGAATGTCATCCAGCTCATCCTTGGAGTCTTTACGGTCCAGAAACCGGTCTAACGCCAGTGAAATAGACTGGCCAGGCACATATCCCTCCATCTGCAGACCATTGGAAAGGCCATGGTCATTCTGCCTCCGGGGATCCCGAACCCGCGGATGGGAGTCAATCTCAGAGGGCTTCAGACTCCGGTATTCCTTGAACAGCTGACGGAAAACATCAGGTGGTCGTTCATGGGCGTCAATCCGTACGATTTCCACCATTGCGGCCTGTCGGATTGCCAAAAGAGCCAGCCTTGGAGAGTTGTCCAAGGTTAATTCTCTCTCCGCGCGGGCGTACACCTACAATCGTAGTTCAAAAATTTAGCATATCGTTGGGTCAAATTTTTAACGTTCAGTTTGACCCACTCAGAAACCTCCCAAAGTAACTGCTGGGTTAGGGTAGGGTAGAGATTAGTATTAAAATTTGACACACGATGAGGTGTAAGTAACCGCCCCCCCATGGATATTTTAGCTAGCCTAAGCGGTTGATGTTATCCCCAGTAGGATGGATCCGGCTTTAAAAAAATAACATCTCTTGCTGCTTTAAGCACTCGGGTTATTCTGCCAGCTGGTATCTCGCTGTGAGTGGCTGTGGAAGCGTGGGCGGTAAGGCGCGTGTTGCGTTAACGCGGCGCAGTGTTTGTTTGGGGTTCATTTGTTAGCGAATCGTAAATACTTGGACACAATAAAAGAGCTTCCACGGTTGTTTGTTCCCCTCCGCCACCACCAAGCCCAACCACACACCCTCAGGAAGAGAATTCTGACCGTGGAAACCGTCTCGACGATGAAGTCATAGCACGAAGCTGCTCTCCGAGTTCTCCAGAGAAGATCTCTACTATTACTAACCACTAGAGCACACTGAACTTCCTCGAACCTCAATCGAGCTCTTCTTGCTTGTATCATTACCCCTCGTTATTTACTTACCTCCCTCGTTTTTAACTACTGCTCCCCGCTATCAAGCAGTGGGTCTTGACTGATAACAACATACGACCAACGTTTTTGTACGGAAAAGAAACATCCGTACTATTTTATGGTAGAGACCTGTGCAGCAAATAAACACAATTATGGAAAACTATCAGAAGATTGAGAAGATTGGAGAGGGTGAGCAGAGCTGGACTCTGTACCCTAACATATCAGGATAAGTGACCTTGCTAATTGGGGTATCGTCTTTTCTTTTCATTTTTATCTACAGGAACATACGGTGTGGTCTACAAAGCTCGCGATCTTACCCACCCCAATCGAATTGTCGCACTGAAGAAAATTCGCCTGGAGGCCGAGGATGAAGGCGTCCCCAGCACCGCCATTCGAGAGATATCTCTCCTGAAAGAAATGCATGACCCCAACATAGTCAAACTCCTCAACATTGTTCATGCAGACGGCCACAAGCTTTATCTTGTTTTCGAATACCTGGACCTGGATCTGAAAAAATACATGGAGGCACTCCCCGTGAGCGAGGGTGGTCGTGGAAAAGCCCTGCCAGATGGATCGACATTGGATATGAACAGACTTGGGCTCGGAGAGGCTATGGTCAAGAAGTTCATGGCTCAACTTGTCGAAGGCATTCGCTACTGCCATAGCCATCGGGTCCTCCATCGCGATCTGAAACCTCAAAATCTCCTAATCGATCGTGAGGGAAATCTTAAGCTGGCGGATTTTGGCCTGGCTCGAGCCTTCGGTGTCCCATTGCGTACATATACCCATGAGGTAAGCATTCCTTGTGTCTGACATGGAGTTTTTCTAATCCCCTCTCAAGGTTGTTACGCTCTGGTATCGCGCCCCGGAAATCCTTCTAGGCGGGCGCCAGTACTCCACTGGTGTCGACATGTGGTCCGTCGGCGCTATATTCGCAGAAATGTGTACCCGCAAGCCTCTATTCCCAGGAGACTCCGAAATTGACGAGATTTTCAAGATTTTCAAGTAAGACCTTTTCCCTTCCCCCCCCCCCCCCCCCATTTTCTAAAATCTCTCTATTCCATCTCCTTTTATATACATGCAAGCTGACGCACATGTCCAATAAAAGACTCCTGGGTACACCGGATGAGAGTACCTGGCCCGGTGTCACTTCATTCCCCGACTTCAAAGTTTCATTTCCTAAATGGAAGCGTGAAGAGACGCGAAAGCTGGTTCCCGGCCTGGAACGCAACGGTCTAGATCTTCTGGATGCTATGCTTGAATATGATCCCGCACGGCGCATCTCCGCAAAACAAGCCTGCATACATCCGTATTTCCAAGCGGGCAGCTCTGCATATTCTGGCCGCGAAAGATTGCCTCCGTATCCAGGAGCAACAATGCCATTAGCCGCTAATTGATTTCCCTTTCCTCCGTCCCTTGCCCCACGCCTCTTTCACTCTCTACCGCATTGAATTCTCCCTTCGCCCGCTTGCTATTACTGTTCCTCGACGTCTGAGGATTTTCTACAGCATTGTATATCTCTATTCAAAACCAATTGAGGCGCGGGTTATCGATTTTTCATATTTTTTCTTTTCTTCCCCCCCCTCTTTTTATGACGGAAGCATGAGGCCTACGTTTTTCTTTTGTCCAGCAAAATAATTGTTTCTTGCTTAGATCAATTTTCTTAATGTTATTGTGATAAATATTTCTTCTCTTTTCTTTAGCAGGCCTGCAGTGACGTAGCCAAACCACCTTTTCCCATATAAATTAACTCGTTTTCATTCCTTAAATATCTCAATAATTACTTGCTAAATTTTTAATATAAATTTTAACAGGATTAGAGTCATGCACTTTTCTCATAAATTACCCATGTGAATCAGTTAACTAGTATGTATTTATATTAACTACAGTATTGTCATCTACACACCACTGCTCATTATCTTTGTAACCAGTTATAAAAGTTAATAACTCGATCATCTCCTTGTCTGGGGCGAGGCAAGCATTAGCGTACTTTTCGCGTTTCGCCGCCTCAATTGACGAATGCACTACCGGAGTGGCAGTAAGGAGCCAATTAGGGCTCGTAAACCTCCTGCCAGAAAAGTACGCTGGATATACCCTTCATCTTGATTGAGTGAGATAGAATATACTGTGAGTGCGTCAGAGTGAATTAATTGGCTATTATATTCTCACTATTATATGATAATGAGAGCTTCTCTTGCTTCGTACGCAGCGAATATCTAGCGTGTTCCAAATAGGACTAGCGTGGCTGAGGAAAGAGATCTCTCATATACTACTATTAATACTAGGCGATATTGATTATTATTATATAAAACTATGCACCGTAATTGTATGTGAGAACAAAGATCTTTTAAATTTGCAATCTGTCACCATCTGTATTACAAGCTCAATGTTTAATAATTTTGAAAGGTACTTTTCTATCATGTAAGAATCAGATGGAGAATTATATGAAAAATTACAGGTAAAAGTTAGAAATAAAGATAAAACGAAATTTTTTATCAAAGGGTATCACCGATGCCTTTGAAATATCCAGATATGCATGGGAAAAGGCGGATCGTTGGGTGCTGTGGATCATGGGGCAGTGGATCGTTGAGTGATTTACTCCGGTACTTGCCCCTTGATTCTGTAAAAAAAAAAAAAAAAAAAAAAAAAAAAGTCATGCCGCATTGCACAAATTTCGGTTTTTGTTAAATTCAGCTGTGTTTTTCGCTTATACAGTTAAATTGCCCATTTGAATTCACCCATCCGAACTTGATCGGATTAGAAGCAGGATTTGAGCCTATCTAAGGTAGGATCACATCCAACTGTAGATTCTAAATAAAGAACCCAAGCCAAGTTATTACTCGTTTTCCTAGATTACTGCATAGCAATTGAAGTCACCCAGTAACTAGTAATTCACGTTCGCTTTACGACCTTGGAGCCCGAACCGTCCGGACAATATGTTATCACGTGGTTATTCTGTATCCGCGATCCCATATTTGCGTTTCAGAACAGTGCCGACATATCGGTCGTTTATGTTTGCCTTCTTGCCGCCCTAAGGATATATATGATCTCAAGATATCTAACAATTAGCTTAATATATCAGTCAATTTCTTACAGCTAATTTTGTGGGAAGTTGGAGGAGGACCAGCTGGAAACGCATGGATTCCGCTAAACGCGAAGCAAAGAGCTTACCGTTGAGAAATATACGACGAAGCGTTGATAGGAAGTGCGTATTTCGGCACTTAGCCAATGCAGTCTGTCCAGGAGGCAGACGGAGGATATTGACGCTAACTCGACCTCGAGGAGTCTTGAAGAACCTCATAGTGGGACTGGTGGGTAGTTCTCAGAGCACAAACACTCTGGATGGTGGTCTTTTCCAATGATATATTACCCGTGGATGATATGTGTAAGCAGTAACTCATGTTTGTTACAAATTTCTCACTTCGACAGAAACCAAGTGTCATCCAATTGGTAACAAGATTTTAGACGCCTCACAGGGCTTGTTAACTACTAACTAAAGTTTAACGAGATATTCATGTATGTGAGAAACTGAATCGTTGTGATCCTTTTCGCCCCGTTAGGGATAACCTCCACGAATCCCAGTCGACAGGTGGGGCCAGTCCGGAACTCCAAACAGGGGGGATCTTCCGTCTAACATTCCAAGAGCCGAGAATTCGTGAGCTGTTCATGGTCGGGGTGCCAACGCTGTTATTCCATATGGGACGGGGTAGTTAGGCTTGTTAGACAGAGGCCGCTTGGTAGTTAGTTACCAAATCTCCGCGTGATTCGCCAGCTTCCATAAATACACGCCACGCGATATGGCCGGACCAGCTGAAGGCTCGGGTTTTCCTACGGCATCTTGTCGTTTTGAAAAATAACGGAACGTACTGGCGAAAGCCAATGAGGCCAGATCACCAAGCGCCCTTTTGTTCCCTACGTGCATCCGTCCGTTTGCTAGCAGCTATCTATCCCATTGTTTAGCGCTACATTGCTATGGGGGTGGTCTCAGACTGCAGATGCCTGCATGGAGGCTCAGAGTTATTAGGCACCTATCCCCAAGAGGAATGTTAAAAGGCCACGATCTCCCAGCCATGACACAGTTTTCCAAACTGACCAGATTTGAGACCTACATATATGCATGTAGAGTGTATATATGTAAATATTTTGCATGTCGATATTCCACATCACGGCGGACAAAAGTGAGCTCTCATGGCTCACACATCTGTTTCGTATGGCGGAAGTGACCACCAACCTGGAACTGAAACTGCTCCGACGACCACAAAAGAACGTGCAACACCGCAAAGCATCGTGGACACATTCTGGGGATCCTTCAACTCGAAGTTTCCAGGAAGAGTCTTGAAGGTTCTGCCACGACGACCTGGCAAAACTCCTCCGCAGCCCATTTCAAATATCGCACACGGTGAATCTGCGCTTGACTCGTACAATCGCGCCAAAAAGGAATGCGAACATGCGGTGAATCGCATTGTAAAGCAATGTCTGCGAATCAACTAAAAGTATGATGATCCGCATTTTGATATTGAGGCGGATCTCAAGTCTGGGCAACGGAATTGTCTCGACGGCCTTGGGGGCGAAAACATGTCGATGAAGCCGAAGGGCGTGAAGAGAGTTTCGGTAAGTTCCCTTTTACCATTCCCTAAGTTCATTTGTCAGTTCATGAAGTCTCATGTTGTTATTTCACTGTTTGCGGAATTTCCTTACGCCTGTGTAGGATATTTTTGAGAAACTCAATTCTACGTAAATAATGCTACCGTAGGTGATGTACGTCAGGGGAACGATGGTGACTGTTGGCTTATGGCTGCGCTTTGTACTTTGGAAATATGGAGGGCCTCATTAATAGGGTTTGCGTTGCACGGAATGAGCAGGTCGGAGTTTACGGATTTGTCTTTTATAGAGGCAAGCTGTATCTGCTAATTTTTCCGGCGAAGCACACCATTGTTAACATGTTTACTAGATGGCGAGTGGCGTCATACTATCATTGATGACAAGCTATATCTTCGGGCCCCGGATTATGAAGATGCTGCTTGGGAAAGGGAGGTTTGGGATGATATTGGTCGCTCCGATACAACGAAACATGGCTGCCCTTGCTGGAAAAGGCCTATGCTAAGGCCCACGGGGATTATTCAAGCATCGAAGGCGGGTTTGTTGGGTAACTTTGGGTCATTTCCTTTTGTTTTAATCAGTCCTGTATATGAAAATTAGACTAACCCCTCGATCAGAGAAGCTATAGAGGACCTTACTGGGGGTGTTACGTCCGAAATCATATCCCGGGATGTCCTTGACCAGGACAGATTTTGGAACGAGGATCTTATGAATGTCAACAAGAAATTCGTTTTCGGATGCGCCACTGGTCTATACGGTCGCTGGTTATACCCCAGTTACTATGACTCCAAGGAGAGATCAGGGATGCATGAATGCCATGCATATTCTGTGATGGATGCTAAGGAGGTAAATGGACGGAGGTTCCTCCGTCTTAGGTATGTTTCATGCTTTTCCTCTTGTTATTAGATGGGAGTTGGACCTAAATTGTGTTGTTATAGGAACCCCTGGGGTCATAAGGAATGGTCTGGGCCATGGAGTGATGGATCTGAGCAATGGACCCCTGAATGGATGAATCTACTCCAACATAAATTTGGAAATGATGGAGTATGTTGTACCTTGTTTTCATCTGCACACAGTTTGTTTCAACCCTCCTTGTTGTTCCAATTCTGACCAAATGTCCGGCAGGTTTTCTGGATTTCCTACGAAGACTTTCTTCACAAATATGAGTTTCTCGATCGAACTCGGCTGTTTGGAGACGATTGGATAGTGACGCAGAAGTGGACCAATTTTCAAGTGCAGGTACGTTACCTAATTGACATGTTCTAGACCTAATAGCTAAGACTACCCACCCATTCATGTAGTTGGACTATCGCTATTTCAAAGGACTAGACGGTCAATACAAATTTGAACTTCAATTTCGCCTTGAGAAAGATGGACAAGATGATTATATTGTCCGCAACCAAAATAGTATTTACATGTCCCGCTCTGTGAGTGCGGATATCACTTTGGAGCCAGGGACTTACACGGTTCTTGTGAGAGTTAGGGCAACAAAGTCCAAAATCGCCCCTCCAGAGGAGGTCATCAAAGAGAAAGCCACTACGGACCGAGAGAAACTTGTTCAAATCGGCCAGTTTTATGACTTGGCTCATACGAAGGGCGTGGATTTGGAATCCGGGGAAGAAGAGGCGGAACGGAAGAAGAAAGAATTGGAAAAAAAAAAAGCAGCATTGAGAAAGAAAGAAAGGGATCTTGCGGAGGTCCGGTCGCGGAGAAAGTGGGTTACAAGGAGAAAAATCGCAGCAAGAGATAAGAGGAGGAAGAAGAAGGCGAAGCAGGTAAGGGAAAGGAGGGCAGCCAGACAGCAAACTAAAAATGCTGAGAATCAAGAGGGACAGCAAACTGAGGAAAAGAAACAAGGAGGGGAAGCTGATGAGGCGCGTGAGGATGGACATAGTAAGAAGGAGATACAGTAGAATAGTAGCCCTGAAATGAAGGAGGAGGACGTTGAATTGCGGGCGAAGGATGCCAAGAAACAAGAAAGAGAGAAGCATGGGGACCAAGAGAAGAAAGACGATGATGCGAAATCCCAAGATTTGGATCCCGAGGAACAAGAAATACAGAATGATAAAGGAGCTGACAAGAAAGGAGCAGCTCAACTCAGAAACGAGTTTGTCGAGAATGAGGAAACAAAGAAGGATGGAGATACGGAGAAGGGGAGTGAAGATGTTAATCACCAGGGGGAGGATTTGAACAGAAATGAAGTAAAGGAGCAAGGCATTGAAAGGAAATATGCGGACATCAAATTTGAAGCTAGAGATTCTGAGGAGAAAGAAGTCAACGGAAACGGGGGAGGGGAGAAGAATGGTGAAATCGTTGAACCTCAGATGAGTGATCTCGAAGACAATGAAGTTAAGAAAGGTGGGGATATGGAGACAATGGGCGAAGTCTCCGAACACCAGTCAGAGAATCTAATGGACAAGGAGGAATTACAAGAGGACGAGGTGCTAGGGAACAGAAGCGAAGAATCTTTCGAGCCCCTCATGGTGGCTGAGGATGAAAGCGGTAAGGAAAATAACAACGAAGAGTCGGAGAAGGAAGCAAAGGATATACCCCCAACCCCCGAAGTCGCCAAAGAACAGGAACCTCAACCACAGAAGGAGAACGGGACGGACGATAAGAACCAGACCACCGAACCTACGGCTAAAATCGCGAAAAAGGTCGAGGAAGATAGTGGTATGGATTCGGGATCTGATTTTGAATTTGATTCCGAAATTGATATGTCTCCGATTGAAGATTCTGATAGTGAGGGTGACGAAGAGGAAGAAGGCGATATTGACGGGGAGTACAGCGTACAACCACCTTGGAATGCTGTCTGTGTTATCGGGCTACAAGTTTATTCTAAGGATTCGGGCTTAACTGTAAGAGTGGTGAAGCCAAAGCTTTGGCAAACGGTTGCTGAACCTCAACGTGATTGTGATGATCCTGCAGTGGAGTGATTCACTTGGCCAGATGGAGTCTTTGGTAGCATTGCCTGTGCTGCTGATTTAGCATTCTCGAAGTTCAAATCTATTACCAAAAGATTGCTTGCCGTGTATGGTATATGGTGAAGCCATTTTGTAACCTAATTAGTTTTTAAGTGTATGGTGGCCTTCATTTCACGCAATCAGTAATTCCGACTGGCATATATATATATATATATATATTTCAACAGTTGTTGTTTGGCCACAACTAATACATGCACGCATGTCCCAAGATGGTGACGGGTTAATTATTCCTCCCACGGGTGGTCGAATTCAGGGTTAGGGCACGAACCCTGTCAGCTGTTAAAGTTACCCAGACAACAACCAACGTCATCATCTCCCATAAACTCAACAAAACGATCACCGCATGCCATAGGAGTTTCTATCTCTCTGCTATGCGCTCTCAATTCACACCAGTTTCATCGCTTTTCCTGTTATTACACTCTAAGAATGGAATAAGCTTGAGCATAAGCCGTATTTCGAGCCGAAAATTTTGTTCCTCTGGTCATGTCCCACGATTTGTCTCTCTCACCGATTTCCACGAAACCAATGTCCAAACCCCAGTGGGGGGTTCGGGGAATATCTGCATAAAGTACTTCTTACCGGTTTTACTTACTTCTATTTTCCCTTTCCAAGGAATGCCTTATCTCTTTCTAATTTGCTAATTAACCAGCGCTGCAGCATTCTACAGCCAGTAACCCAGTCACCATTTAAGCGCGCAAATGTAATCCTCTACCTTCCTCCAGGGCCTCTATTCTTAACCAGCCAATTGGACAATGCAGACAGTGCTGTTGACGAGACTGAGAGGTCCACCCACCAAGATTGGTTTCCGTCGCCACAGCATGCCCTCTCTGCGACCACATTATCCACCGTTGTAACGGTCAACTACCGGGCCGGTCAGCAGGATGAATATGGGAAACAAAAACGCTACTATTACCCTGGTCCCGTACACGATGTGTTGGCAGGATTTGACTGGATATTTGAAAATCTGAAAACAGAACGGCTATGTGTGTTTGGGAGGCATATCGGGGGTTCGCTGGCTGTGATGCTAGCGCTCACTGAGCCGAGATCCATTGCTGCTTTAGCTGCGCATGAGCCGATGTGTGATTGGACTAGTTTGGATGATTATTGCTTGAAGACTGATCCTGCATGTGAAGAGGGTGTTGCTGTCAACGGGAACCATAACAAGGGCGATGTTAGCCAGGGAGAAAATGGGATACTAGCGGAGCAAACAGCTAAAAAAAGCAGACGAAAGAGGAAAACCTCAGCACATCCACCAGATCTTGTTCCCCTCCTCGAAGCCCGGAGAGCGTTGTTCCGCACTCCAGATAGTTTATTTTGACTCATTTGCTTCCCCTGCATTATTTCTCCGCTCTGCAGGAAAAGATACGCCCACGCTATTCCCTGCGTATCATACAGGCCCCAGAATACCCCATTCCCGTGCTCAAAGTTCCCCCCAAAGAGATAATTAGCGGCCCGGACCCTACCCGATACTTCCAAGACCTGGACCCGGATCTAGTACCACCACCTGTTAATCTGGACTCTGATCCTGAGATGCTTGGAAAGCCTGTCCGGCGCAGGAAAGCTCTGTCCAGATGGCCACCCTATGGCCTGGAATACACAGAAAGACCCGGGGTGAAACCTGTAGACCTATGGAGTAGTAAACCTAACTTGCCACATGTGCGTATATTCGTACATAGTAACTTGGCTTCTGATCCAGAGTTAGATTCAGCTCCGGAGTCGGACGTGGATATTTTCGCGAATACGGCATTTTCTGCTGGGGGTGAGAAATGGACTGTTTCGAACTTCGGAGTCGGCAATTTAGCTAGTCAAGTCGAGGAGCAGATGGAACCCGACTATGGACCATCTACGGAAGAAGGCGTTCCTACCCCCACGTCACCATCCTCGTGTTCTCGACGCTCACGCATTCCCCGTAAACGCACCCTAGAGGCTGACGGGGAAACGATATTGGCACGCCAGGGTGGGGAAATGGTTTCTCTAATGCGGAATGCATGCTTCTGGGGTCGAGAGAAGGGGTATGCGGAGGAAAGGGTTAAATATGTGACGATTCCCTTGTCGTCATCTTCAGCTTTGTCTCATGATCCTAGCACTACTGAGTTAGGGAGACGTGAAAATGACGGGAATGGAACGGGGGGATATACGAGTGACTTTCCCAGTGTTGAGGAGCGAGCTGGAAGATACTTCTTCGATATCCTGGAGCGAAAGCCCGGGGAGAAATGGTGAGCATTCTTACATCGAATCAAACTCCCGCCCTTTTTATTTGACCTACGTAGCGTAGTTATGTTGTCAGATATAAACGGAATATAGGGGAATGAAGTTCGTTGGAATTCCAAGGATGAAGCTGTAACACTCCAGTTTGCTGGATCTATTTTGCACGCCTTATGCAATATTTGACCAGCAGGATTCTCCCCGCGAAGTTAAATATTCGGGAAAGCTTCCTACTCGGCTACGCGATAAAATATTGTACGGCACATGCAGAAATTGCACAGGATGCAGGGAGTCTATTAGACCTTACCGTGGAGATCCCTACCTGTATAAAGAACGTCTTACGACGCTGGTTGACATGGGCAACCATCGCACTCAGTCCTTATGCTTCTGAGATGTGGTCAGAAAGCCTGTTCAAGCGTCCTCAATTTACCCCGTGAGATGCCGTCGAACTCCGACTGCTCATGGCAGTGGATAAACCGCTCAATGAATAACAGCCATCGACTGGTATTCGGGGAACGTCACGAGCGTGAAACAGGGCTTCACGCTGAATCAATCGTGATAGGTTGTTGGAGCTCTAGGACTAGGCTGAACAGAGGGCTCAGGGGCCGAACACGACAATTTCCAGAATCCGAGACTCTTCTTGACATGAGGGAACTGGCTCGATCCTCAAGAGTGAAGGCTGTATTCGAGAAGGGTTTGACTTCAATTCTGGCAAAGTCTTCGAATGCCCATCGGAATCCGACCGAGGTAGTTACAGTTGGGAATCTAGATTATTACTGCGGCGTATTAGTCGAGCTGCTAATGGAGTAAATGCGGTGCTAATGATGATGACCACTGCCCGACAATGAAAAAGAGGATCAAAGGGACAAATCAGAACCTCGATAAGAGCTGGCCATAAAGGCAAAGTGGGATCTATCATTAACTCGAGGTATGCGAGAGCTCAATTCGCCGAGATGCAGCAACGACGGCAGAAGGAGGAGGAGGAGGAATCAAACCAACATATTTAATGAGAGGTTTGTTATGGACGAGGCTGTATCGTTTGGCGCTGTTGGCAGCAATGCAATGCAATATAGATATAGCCGGGTTCAATACAGGCGAGTTAAGATGATGGGTAAGTTATTGGTTAACTATATCTTCGAAGTCTTCTTCACACGCCTGCTTTTTCCTTTGTTTCTCTCCTTTTCGGTTTCACATTTCCCCAACGCTCTTCTGATGAATTCGTGGATATGTTTATAGTAAGTTTCCGGTCTGTACCATCTCCTCCCCTCCAAACCCCCAAACCTCGAATTGCAGACAATTAACATCTCCAAAGTTCCTTTGGCATAACCAGCGTGTGCTATAACAGCTGGATGGACTTGCTGGCAAAAAGCTATCGATACTATTTAAATCTTATTAATCTATGATGTCAATTAGGAATTCGATGGTCGTGGTTATCCATTTGCCTAGCTAGCCACCTGTAAGTCTGAATTCCAGTTCCCTAGGGGGGCAATTTACTACCTGATTCATTAATTATTCCGTCTATTCTTAATAATTAATACAGTTGTGGAATGATATATCTCCCCTCAGTATTCCCGTCTTATGGGCCACAAAGCCTCAAACTCATTTCCAATTTTCCTTTCGATTAACGCCTCTAGCTCTCGACTGGATAAGGGTTGGGTACGTTTCCCGATTTCAGGACTCATGGCTGTCGAATTTTCTTCTTCCATGGAAACTGGAAAATCAATGAAAAAAAAAAAAGAAAAAAGAAAAAGAAAAGGAAAGTCAACAACGTGATCTTCATGATCTTTGAAGAAAAGGCACGGAACGATGGGTTTTGGGAACTCCAACCCTACAGGGGAGAGAGTAAAAGAGTGTGTGAACAACTTACTATGTATGGTGATAGCAGCTCGCTTCCCGCTGAACATTGCATGAGGAACATTCGTGCTGCGGTCATTATTGCAATCCCCCACGGCATACACTCCAGGTGTACTGGTTAGCATCCCATGGATGTCGTTGTCGATATTTATACCCGCCATTTTCAGACCTAGCTTGTACGGCAAGTCTGACCGCTGCTTTGACTCAAAGTTCGTTACGAAAGCAGAGCGGTTGACAGGTTGAGTATCCCCGTGGAAATGGACTGTAAAGATGTCGAATTGGGATCGATTCTGAGCACTAAAATGTGTTGCGCCATCCTGAACGCGAGTTATGTTCTTGATGATGTCGAACTTATAATGGATGTGGTAATGGGTTTCGAAATGCTTGATTTGATCGTCCGGAAGTTCGGTGCCATTCATGAATGCCATGATGTCGTGATTTAGGGTGGCTACTTCCATTATACTGTGTCGAAAACGTGTGGCATTTCCTATGATCCCAAGGGGCTGATCGCGGTGCTCAAAGCCGTCACACCAGGGACACCAATATATGCCTCGACTCCAGGCTTCATCGATACCTGGTGTATTGGGGAGAATGTCTTCAATTCCCGTGGCGAGGACTATCTTCCGTGCCCTCCTATTGACAATTGAAGGGGGTATTGTGTCTGTGAAGTTGATATTTACATTAAAGTATGGTAGTTGGCCGGTGACATTGTTCACTTGTGTGATATGCAATACCGTCCCATTTCGCATTTCTGCAGTTGCATATCTTGCAATTTGTTTTCGCGCTTTGTGTCTGAAGGCAGAGGGAGCGACGCCTGAACAATTGTTATGATGGCTGCAAAGGCTGGGAGGTGTATGGGGACCGAGAGAAAAGATTGGTGGGGGGGGGGGGGGGGGAGGGCGTATATATGCACTGTTCTAAACACATACCATCTGCACCAATAATATCGTTTATAAATCTTGTTAGACCATTACGGTAAATTCCCGAATCGACCAGCAAAGCTGTTCTTCGTACTCTGGATAAACTGCTCAGCGCACTAAGGCCCGCGGGACCGCCTCCGACGATTATGGCGTCGTAATCAACCGCGGGAATACTCTGCGCAAAAGTAAATGTCAGAAAGAAAAGGAATGCAGCCCACCCGGAAGTTATGACAGTAGCCATGCTGGATCAAACCGTGGTGGTGAAATGTCCGTATAGAGGAATATCCTGACGCCCATCTAGTTAGTCGCATCAGACACGGAACACCTGGAAAAAAGGGAGAACTCTCTCCTATAACGTTGGGCACCTACTTTTAGGGATGGCGCAAACATCGACAGTATTTACACTGGCGGTTTGAGCAGCCGCCATCAAGGCATGGATGTCCTGGCGAAAGACGACACTCTGCTGAGGCGCCCCGTTAACGCTTTCCAAATATTGGGTGTAGAAAAAAAGCAACTCGGTTGCGCCGCACCCACATATCAAGGGGTGACTTGTGCTGGAAGCTCCCACCCGTCGAAGAGGAACAGGGGGGGGGAAAAAGGAGTGGCTAACTCGCGACTCATTCTGATGAGACTGAAGTATAGCATCAAAAGCAATCTTTATAAGCCGCATTGTCATTGGATAATCAAACACTATTGGGGTTTCCATGAGCTTCTTTCACTGTTTACCTGGTGTCCAGCCAGCGCTTAAGGAGACGCAAAAAGGTCCTGAGTGAACTGAAGTTGTTAGCTTGCACAATTTAAACAGTGAGATGAGTGACACAAGATCTGCTCCACATGTGTAACTGAGGCTGCTAGGATACCACTAAAGGTATGTGGTGAGTACTCACTGAAAGTGTCCCTGTAGGTTCATGATGTCAACACATTGCATGTCCAGATCTCTGCAGAAAATAATGATTCAAGACAGATGTGACCATCAATACAGAAGAATATATCAAATATATCAAAACAGAAAGTTGATAATTTCCATTATAATGATGCCTGTATCAACGACCAAGCTTGTTTGAATTCACGTATTAGAGTGCCCAAGGCTGGCTAACTCCCTTTCTCAATCTCCTGTATACTTTTTCGTTGCCTCGGGAAGAAACTTGTCTTGCAGTAACTAGCCCTTAGATAGCTGACTGATAGAGGAACTTCTAGTAAAACTTTGTGTTGCTGGACTTCAGAAATCCAGAAAACCCAGCTGCGCGGTTGACATCAGAAAAAGCACTCACCTTTTCCCAACGATCCAGAATGCGAGCCGGCAGGCCGGCTATCTTTACTAACAGGGATGGGATTTCACCAGAACGCTTGAAGTGATTAACATATTCGAAATAATCATCCTGAATTTGATCTTGATGACTCATCTGGCTAGCTCGCGGCCCGAATTTTGTGGTTGGTTTGCAGGGTTGCTTTTCCATCCAAATTTTGATTGCGTTCCATAATATTTGTCGTGGATATGAAGAAAATATAATATATCCGAAGTTATCGATCAACAGTGGTTTCCGCTGGAGAGGAGGAAATTCGGAGAATTTAAACTTTATTCCAGCAGTTCAAAAATGTACTTGTTTTGAGTCTTTGCTGGAGCCCTAGAAAATCTGGTGATATCCATCTTTACTGGACTATTGACCAAAAAGAAAACTAAAGAAAAGAAAAATATAATAATGTTCCAAGGATTGGAAAATTCCTTCGTTTTATTGGCTGTTGTTGACCTTTTTCTGAGGGTGATTTTTATTTTTCATGGACAGGATGCATTTTATGGAAATCATCAAGTGCTTCAAGCCGGGGACGGTCAAGCCATCAGGCTTGTTATCATAGCCAATAACCCAGCATTAGGAACGGCGACCTCTAGGAATACAAAGGAGGTGGCATGAATAAAACCTGGTTGACAAGAAGGTCAAAATTCAATAGAATTCAATTCAAAACTTCAT